ATATCTGGCACGAGCCTTCGCGACGCTCGCGCATCAGGCATCGCTTACTAGTCCGCTATAGTAATCGTCCTGACCAGGGCTGTTCGTGACTAACGTCTAATACACGCCTGCACGATCACATCCATGTTGAAATAATCTTGTAGCTGTACAAAGACTAACGAACAATTTACGTATATCTCAAATAAAATGATTACATAAGTCTAAGATTTCTGCTCTGTTTTGTATCAAACTATAACCTTCACCTTTAGTATTTTCCAAGCCTGTTGTTATTAAAAACTAATACCTTCAGTTTTGCTGTCGCACAGCTGTAAATTTCTCAGAGGCCAAGAGCGGCGGAAACTTTGCTAACAAGCCGGGCCAGACCGCCTGTTTGCAATTGCGCATGGATTTCTCGAACGGTGCCCACGGGCGGAAAACCCGAACGACGATAACCATACCAATAGCGTTGCCCCTACTTGCGTCTTGGCCTGGCACGAGCACTAAAAAAGCTTATCATATACACTCGTAATATTATCATTAAATATTAAAACCATTGAAAACCAGGTGAATCGTCACATCTATCAAAACTCTTACAATAATTTTATCATTCGCCGAGAGATAGGGTCGTACGTTCGCTGTTGTAATTTGGCCCATGACGCACTGTGAAAATTCACAGTCCTGATTGCCGATTTTAGTTGCACTGAAGAATGGCAGACAATGGCGGCTAGTCTGCGTTTGTTTTCGATGCAATTCATGGGCTCAGGAAAAACGGCGAATAACTCATAATATAAGTAGCGCCCAGTTAGCGCCAGGGTTAGCCGCGAGCAAGCCAGAGGTTTTATTGATTCGTTTGAGCTATTATCATGTGACGCTTAGCTGGTGGGTGTGTGCGTCCGATTGGTGCGATACCGACGCCAAGGGTGGAGAGGAATTTGGGCCTGGCAAGAATTTCTGAAACGGTATTTCCTTAAGCCCTAGCCATTACGTTTCCTGGAAGGTGAGTACTCATTAGGTATAGCCGGTTACACTATAATACTGCCGCTGGGCCGGGCTATCGCATTCAACCATGACGAGTGATCGCTTCGGGACCAACTTACGACTCCAGCCAGTCCAGCGGCGGAACCTATGTATTGTCCGCCTGTGGCAAGGGTCGTCGGGGGGGGCGGGTTGTGCTGTGTTATGGACAAAATATGGACTCCTGTGTTGTTGTCAATGTAAACAAATTATAATAGAATTTGTTCAGTCTTTCTCATGACAAAAATAATGATTACCTCAATCTCCTATCTTCTCACTCGCTTTATTTTTTACTTGACACGACACAATGTTTTCTCGTCCCGACAACCACCCCAAGTCGCGCCGCTCTACCCCTCCCGACATCTGGATTTAAGTACAGTTCACGTTTGCCCGTCTGAACTTGCGGCCTCTGCTGGAGCTGCCTCGGCCAGAAATGGCCGTTTGAAGTTCGCAAATAGACCATTGGCATTGCAACGATAGTTAGAGGTTCAATTTTAGTAGCGGCTATAACTTAAGACATATTCACTTCGGATAAGAGGCATTAATTGCCTACCACAGACGTTTTATAGCCGGATATAATCGGGGATAAGTTGGTCCATCGCATGCCTCATGGGTCGTTCTATAGCCCAGCGGCAGTTAATGTAAGCGGGCTATAGTACTAGAGCTAACTCAATACATACATACAATGATACATAGCCTACCGCGATTACCGGTACTCATTCAAAACACTGCCACTTCATTCGGCTCAAGGATAGAGACTAAGACTGAGTAAGAGAGCATGGTTGTGAGAGCGACTGCAGCAGCACAGTCACAGTGCCACAGGCACAGGCACTTGGAACGTCTCAATAAAAAAAATATAATAATTAATGGTCAATAATAAATAAACACGAAATGTATTTACTACCAAAGTCTTAATGTTTTTCTTCTCTATTTCGCCTATTACTAGTATTTGTATTATTGTCGATAACTTGCTGTAAATGCCATTCAAATGGCAATGCTCATCTGCAACACACAAGTAGACCTACACCGCACCGCACGCTCTGTGCACAAACAACAAGAATAAAAAAGCAGGTAGCAAAGCGTGATCGTAAAATTCGCTCAACGCTCGCTTCATTTCACACGATAACGAATACACAACCAACATCCTCCATCTTGGTATCTATTAGCTCTTGTACTATAGCCCGCGTACAGTTACCGCAGGGCTATAGAACATTTTATGCCAGATTTCGTAAACTGCACCTGTCCCCCAATGCTTCCACGAAAAATGGCACACAAAACGCAAAATGATCGGGCTTTTTAACACTTATTTATCTACATGGACATCTTGCCTATCTTTTTAAACACTCCACAACTTTACACTATGTATTTATGCATTTATTCCTCAAAGTGCTAGAACTACTTGCGTTTCGTTTTCAAATGCTGTTGTGTACACGCGTGACCACAGGCTTGAAGCGTTTCAATAAAATATAATGCTAACTAAATACGAAATCTATTTACTACCAAATTCTTAATGTTTCTATACTCTCTTTCACCTATTATTGCCGACAGTTTCCTGTAAATTCCGTCCAAATCCTACGTGCAACCATATACGCTGCCGGCGCCATTACTCTCGCGGCTCCACTGTTGCACGCTTACACTAATATATATAGCAGGCAGGAAAGCGTGATTGCAAAATTCGCTCATTTACATTACTGTAGAAGGTTTGCGAACGCGAGAATTTCGTCAGTCTTTGTATGATTTCTCGTGACACAACTCGGTTACAAACAGAGACAGTATGTTTTTATAACAAGTGAACACTGTTTTTAACATAGAAACAAAGATGGAAGCTGTTGGATGTGTATTCGTGCTGTGAAAGTGTGAAATCAAGCGAGCGTCAAGCAAATTTTGCGATCATGCTTCCTACCTGCTATATATATATTAGTGTAGGTGTGCAACAGTGGAGCCGCGAGAGTAATGGTGCCGGCAGCGTATATGGTTGCACGTAGGATTTGGACGGAATTTACAGGAAACTGTTGGCAATAATAGGTGAAAGAGAGTATAGAAACATTAAGAATTTGGTAGTAAATAGATTTCGTATTTAGTTAGCATTATATTTTATTGAAACGCTTCAAGTGCCTGTGCGCGTGATGTCACCCAAAATGTAATAGGCTGCATCATAGCTGCCCATGTGTTTTGTCTACATTTCGTGTGATGTCACTCGTGTACGCAACAACATTTGAGAACGAAACGCAAGTAATACTAGCACTTTGAGGAATAAATGCATAAATACATGGTGTAAAGTTTTGGAAAGTATTGAAAAAGATAGGTGAGATGTCCATGTAGATAAATAAGTGTTAAAAAGCCCGATCATTTTGCGTTTTGTGAGCCATTTTTCGTGGCAGCATTGAGGGACAGGTACCTGGCATAAAATGTTCTATAGCCCTGCAGCAACTGTACGCGGGCTATAGTACTAGAGCTAGGTATCTATGTGTAGCTAAATGTTCACTTGTTCGAATTATAACTCTGTCCTTTGTCCTTACCTACTCCAGCCAGAGATATCTCGTGAAATCATGCGGGGAAATTCCACTCCTGGTTTCTGTAAACCGGCCGTATCAACCGAAAATCACTAACGGCGCTACTCGATTGTTTTAACCAATGAACGTAGTCGTGTCTGTGACGTCATACCCGCTCGCATTATGCTTGGCTTGGCGGGCCTCAAAACAGCTCGGAGGCAGGCAGCAGCTCATCCCGGCATGCTATGGGCCGCATTACTCGTGTATAAACAGACATCTCGTCTGGTTTACAGAAACAAGGAGTGGAATTTTCCCGCATGGTTTTACGAGATATCTCTGGCTGGAGTAGTTAAGAACAAAGGACAGAGTTATAATTCGAACAAGTGAACATTTAGCTTTACATAGCTACCAAGATAGAGGCTGTTGGTTGTGTATATGTTCTGTAATCGTGTGAAATGAAGCGAGCGTCGAGCGAATTTTAGGATCACGCTTTCCTACCTGCTCTTTTATTCTTGTGCACAGGGCGTGCGTGTGGTGTACTTGTGTGTTGCAGATGAATATTTGAACAGCATTTACAGCAAGTTATCAACAATAATAGGCGAAATAGAGTAGAGAAACATTAAGACTTTGGTAGTAAATACATTTCGTGTTTATTTACTCTTTTTTTTTTATTGAGACGTTTCAAGTGCCTGTGTGCAGTAGTGGGTGCTGGTGCACTGCAGCGCAGGGCTAATTCGTCGAAGTGGATTTTTCACTATATATATAATACTACAGTGTTTCCCCTGCATTGACATTAGCGAGGCGGGCCGCCTCGCTCAAATTCTCAGCCACGACACAGAAATTTCTCCAAAACACCGCCTCGCTGACGAAACTTTTGACAACTTGAACAAGAGATTCAAGAGTCTCATACAATGTGTTCAGAATAGCTTAGAATGCACCAAATTGCACAATTTTTTCAAAAATTTCCATGGGGAACATGCGCTGCTCGACCTACACTGCTCCTTCGCTACCCTGTACCAGAACTACGAGAGTGCTGACGATGTTCCACTGATATGCCCGAAACGCCGATAGACCGCGTAGCGCCATTTGGCGGTGGCGTTTGCAAGTTAATTTACGACGCTAAACCTAATGTTTACCTCACTTGCGTACGTGTGAACGCGAAAACTCAAACCAGCCTGAGCCAAATTTGGCCCGAGCCAAATCTAGCCCATTTGGCTCGAGCCAAACCATGACCGTGTGAACGCGACTTTAGGAATATGCTATACTTTTTAGCACATTTGCGAAAATCAGGGCCGGGGTCACAAACTAGGATTGAACAATAAACTTGTATAACTTGGGTGTTTGTATTGCTGTTGCTGGGAATGGTAATTTACTAATAGTAATTGGTAGTTGGCACTATTGCCAGTGCCAGTATTGCGTAAGCGGTAATTACGCAACCTACGGCTATAGGGTACCCTATTACTAATACTAGCCTATACATACGTAAAGGCTAAGCACACGTGTAGTACGGTGTACCTGAGTTTATTGGCGGTAAGGTCGATCTCTTTCAGGTTACTTGCATATTTCTTCACGTATTTGGAAGGAACTTCTCTATAATTTTTATACGCTAATGACAAACGTTCTTTTTCACCACAAGTATTCGTATCCATAACTAGGGCTATGAATACACATGATTATCAGGCGACGCAACAACAACTTTGATAACGATGGGAGCAGCCATATATAACAACAAGTTTTTTTCCCGCGAGAAAACGCGAGATCAAAAATGGCGATTGAGATAGAATCGGCCGAGTAAGTAACTTATGTCATAGTTTAGATGATATATGCTCCTCCATATACTAATGCAGCATACATTTAGGAGATATGGTTTAGAAAAATTCAAAAAAATCTCGGATCAATCTCTGCAAATTCGCTGTGGGATATTACAGTTCTTGACATACCGGTATCTATTACTAGCTCTAGTAGTAGTAGTACTAGTAGTACTATAGTAACCCGACCAGGCTGTGTGACTAACGTCAATACACCGCCTGACATCCATCCATTGAAAAATCTTGTAGCTGTACAAAAACTACCGAACAATTACGCTTCCCGTTACCGCGCGAGCAAGCCAGAGGTCTTATTGATTCGCTTTGAGCTATTTACATGTGACCTAGCTGTGTTCGATGGGTTTGGATAAATTACGACAGCCAACTACAAGGAATTGTGGGCAAGAATCTGAAACGGTATTCTAACCTAGCATTACCGTTCCTTGAGCTAGTACTATAGTATTAGCGCTTACATTTAACTGCCGGCTGGGCTATAGCATCAACCATTACGGAATGCTCGCGGACCAACTTACTCCCGAGCCAGGTCAGCGGGAACTATGTATTTCCGCATGTGAAGGTGGGCGGTTGTGTTGGTTATGCGACAAAAATATTGTGTGTCAAGTAACAAATTAATAATAGTTAATTTGTTCATCTTTCATGACAAAAACTAATATTACAATCTCTTTTTGATCGGCTAATTTGTTACTTGACAACAACAACATGTTTCACAACCACCCCAAACCGCCCACCCTTGCCACATGCGCGGAACATAGTCCCGCTGCACTGCGCGTGTCTGCAGCGCCGCCGCAGTAATGGCGTTTGAAGTCGCCAATATAGACCATTGGCATTGCAACAGATATGTTAGAGGTCATTTAGTAGCGGCTATAACTTAAGACATATTCACTTGCGGATAAGAGGCATTAATGCCTACCACAGACGTTTTATAGCGGATATAATCGCGGGATAAGTTGTCCATCGCGATGCCTCATGGGTGTTCATAGCCCCAGCGGCAGTTAATGTAAGCGAAGCTATGTACTAGATCTAAACTCAATACATACATACAATGATACATAGCTTACCGCCGATTACCGGTACTCATTCAAAACACTGCACTTCATTCGGCCAAGGATAGAGACTAAGACTGAGTAAAGAGAGCATGGTTGTAGAGAGCGACTGCAGCAGCACAGTCACAGCCACAGGCACAGGCCTTTGGAACGTTCTCAATAAAAAAAATTATAATAATTAATGGTCAATAATAAATAAACACGAAATGTATTTGTACTTACCAAAGTCTTAATGTTTTTCTTCTCTATTTCGCCGTATTACTAGTATGTTGTATTTATTGTCGATAACTGCTGAAATGCCATTCAAATGGCAATGCTTCAGTCTTGCAACACACAAGTAGACCTACACCGCACCGCACGCTCGGTGCCACAACAAACAAGAATAAAAAAGCAGAGGTACGCTAAGCGTGATTCGTAAAATTCGCCTCAACGTCGCCTTCATTTCACACGATAACGAATACAGCAACAACATCCTCCTCTTGCGTATCTATTAGCTCTTGTTACTATACCGCGTTACAGTCTACCGCCAGGGCTACTAGACATTTATGCCTCATTTCGTAAACTGCCCACCTGCTCCCCAATGCTTCACGAAAAATGGCCACACAAAACGCAAAATGATCGGGCCTTTTTAACACTTATTTCTACATGACATCTTGCCCTAATCTTTTTAAACACTCCACAACTTTACACTATGTTATTTCATGCATTTTATTCCTCAAAGTGCTAGACTACTTGCGTTTCGCTTTCTCAAATGCTTCTTTGTGTACACGCGTGACCACGGGCCGTTGCAAAGCGTTTTCATAAAATATAATGCTAACTAAATACGAAATCTATTTACTACCAAATCTTTAATGTTTCTATACTCTCTTTCACCTATGTATTGCCGACAGTTTCCTGTAAATTTCCGTCCAAATCCTCGTGCAACCATATACGCTGCCGGCGCCATTACTCTTCGCCGGGCTCCACGTTGCACGCTTACTTTTTTTTTTTTTTTTTTTTTTTTTTTAATTTTTTTTTTTTTTTTTCACTATATATATAGCAGGCAGTGGAAAGCGTGATCGCAAAAATTCGTCATTTACATTACTGTAGAAGGTTTGCGAACGGTCGAGAATTTCGTCAGTCTTTGTATTGATTTCTCGTGACACAACTAACGCGTTTACAAACAGAGACAGTATGTTTTTATAACAAGTAGACACTGTTTTTAAAATAGAACAAAGATGGAAGCTGTGGATGTGTATTCGTGCTGTGAAAGTCGTTGGCAAAGTCAAGCGCAGCGTCAAGCCAAAGTTTTGCGATCATGCTTCCTGACCTTGCTATATATATATTAGTGTAGGTGTTGCCAACAGTGAGCGCCGAGAGAATAATGGTGCGGCGCAGCGTATATCTGGCTTGCACGTTAGGATTTGCGACCGGATTTACAGGAAACTGTGTTGGCCATAAATAGGTGAAATGTCAGAGTATAGAAACATTTAAGAATTTGGTAGTAAATAGATTTGCTATTTATGTTAGATTATATTTATTGAAACGCTTCAAGTGCTGTGCGCGTTGATGTCACCCAAAATGTAATAGGCTGCCATCATAGCTGCCCATGTGTTTTGTCTACATTTCGTGTGATGTCACTCGTGTCCGCCAACAACATGAAGAAACGAAGTATACTAGCACTTTGAGTGAATAAATGCATAATATACATGGTGAAAGTTTGGAAAGTATTGAAAAAGATAGGTCAGAGTCTGTAGATATAAAGTTGTTAAAAAGCCGATTCATTTTCGTTTGTGATCCATTTTCTGCGCAGCATTGAGGCCCGACAGGTACCTCCGCATTAAAATGTTCTAATAGCCGCCCACCAGCAACTGTACGCGCGGCCTATAGTACTTAGCGCCTAGGTATCTATGTGTAGGCCTAAATGCTTCACTTGTTCTGAAATATAACTTGTACCTATTGTTCCTTACCTACTCCAGCCAGAGATGATCTCGTGAAATCATGGGGGGAAATTCACTCCTGGTTCTGCTGGTAACCGCCGTATCAACACGAAATATCACTAACGCGCGCTACTCGTTGTTTACCAATATGAACGTACGTTCGTGTCTGTGACGTCATACGCCGCCTCGCATTATGCTTGGCCTTGGCGGGCCTCAAAACAGCCTCGGAGGCAGGCAGCAGCTCCATCCCGGCATTGCCTATGGGCCGCGATTACTCGTGTATAAACAGACATCTCGTCTTGCGTTTTACAGAAACAAGAGTGGAATTTTTCCCGCAGCGTTTTACGCAGAATATCTTCTGGCTGGGGTCAGTTAATGAACAAAGTGACGGAGTATATAATTCGAACAAATGTGAACATTAGCTTTACATAGCCTACAAGTATAGAGGCTGTTGGTTGTGTATATGTTCTGTAATCGTGTGAAATTGAGCGAGTCGTCGATTCGCGAATTTAGGATCACGTTTCCTACCTGCCCTCTTTTATCTTCTGCTGCACAGGGCGTGCGTCTGTGTTGTACTTTGTGCTTGCAGATGAATATTCTTTTGAACAGCATTCTACAGCAAGTTATCAACAAATAATAGGGCGAAATAGAGTAGAGAAACATTAAGACTTTGGGTAGTTAAATACACTTTCGTGTTTATTTACTTTTTTTTTTTATTGAGACGTTCCAAGTTGCCTGTGTGCCAGATAGTGGCGTGCTGTGTGCACTGCAGCAGCGGCTAATTCGTCGAAGTGGATTTTTCACTAGGTTATATATAAATACTATCAGTGTTTTCTTCCCTGCCATTGACATTACGCGAGGCGGGCCGCCTCGCTCGAAATTCTCAGCACGGGACAACACAGAACATTTCTCCAAACACCGCCCTCGCTGACGAAACTTTTGACAACTTGAACAGAGAGATTCAAGAGTCTCAATACATGTGTTCAGAATAGCTTAGAATGCCACAAATTGCCACAATTTTTTAAAAATTTCCATGGGGAACATGCGCTGCTCGCTTTGCTAGGACCTCGAAATGCGCAAACACATCACACACAAAATTTACCACCTCGCACACCTTTTTGGCCAGGGGAAAAGCTGATACTATACATATTATATATATATAATATATATATATATATATATATATATATATATATATATATATATAACCATATATCAATCTCAGGAGTGAATAATAATAGAGGAGTATGACTCGCTCGAAACACAAGAAATTTAACATTTCCATGCCCAGATTTTACGTATGATAGTATGTATTTCTTACGTGAAATCCAATAAAAATGACATCAGAACTAGTGCTGTACATCTAATCTGCCCTCACACTTTACTTTGTATCAAGAGCTAATAATACCTAGAGTGTACAACGGAAAAACGGGAAAATAGTGCTATTTTCACGACATGATTATTCTACTTTGCCTGCCGAGTCTAGAATAATTTTATGCGTATTTCATTAAGCAGAATTCTTTGCTCTCTAAACAAGACCAACCGCTTGTTAATAAATACTCCTAGGCTGAGATATTGGCTCCTAAACCTCCCCTCCACATGCCTCACACGGCCTGGCATCCAGCTTATTCCGTAACCTAACGCCTCTAGGTTGCTTCGTAGAGGTGTTCGTTTTTCCGCCCATAATTTTTATGAATGATTTTCGGCGCATGCGGTGCAGGGTTGGAGGTGACTTTCGGGGGCATCGCCTATGCCTTATCTCCCATTATATTTTCTAGCACGGCTATGCCCGTCATGATTGGAGCGGCCAATGTTTTTTGTTAATTAAGTCTTCTACAACGCAGCTAGTAAGAGTACCAAATTTGGCGCATGTGACAATCAATTATCAGCGCTCCAAGCGCGTGACGGAAACCGATAGCCGCAATGCTTAGACGTGTGAAGGTATGCGGACAGAAGTGGATTCGAGGCGGGTTTGGCATGTGGAGGGGAGGTTTAGGAGCCGATATCTCCGCCTAGGCGTACGTATCGTATTGACATAGCGGTTGGTCTTGGTTTAGTAGAGCAAAGATATTCTGCTTATGCCCAATACCATTGGAAATATC